TCTTTTTTTCAAACTTTTGCAGCTGACCCGTAGTTTTGTATCAGTTTATTTTTAATCCTTTCCTCTTTTGTATTTGGAGAACAGAACGGAACCGCATTTTTGTTTAAGTGAAACCTTACCTGAGTATTGATATACTTTTCAGTAAAATACCCTGTTGGCGCACTTCGGATTACAGTACACTAAAAATTTTCATTTTTACATCTACGTTTACGTTCCTTACCTCACATTCCCGGAATTCTTATCCGTACCAATATTTTCTTACTATATGAGTTTCTTCCTATATGAAATACCTGTCGGACCATGATTTTTTTGGAGCAAAAAGTTTAATTGGAAGTTAATACCGTTGTTTCCACAGCGTTGATCTTACTCGAAATATGTTTATGGCGCATAATCGTTCATCAAAGACTCATCAATTTGAAACGAAGGAAGTGCCATTGGGAGAACTTTCTCTCAACGATTTAGGTTAATGGTGAGAAGTATAAAGATGAGATGAGAGAGCTGAGATTAAAGATGAGGTTTCAACCTGAGGGCTCATTCTTCATCTTTCTATTTGCTCATTTGAAGCAGATATACAACGAAAAGTAACGACCTCTAAACAAGTACAAAATAATAAGAGTATAACAAGAAATAACCGCTAAAAAAAGCAAAAGGATGAGGAGTCAGGCTTTGTAAGAAGCTTCTTCGACTGTAGTCTCATTTTTGAGGGTGTCAAATTACCTTCTAGTCTCTAGAAGTCTAAGATCTGAAAATTGAATTGGAGGGTAAATTTATTTAGCAGTTTTTTTTCCGTCGATTGACAGTTCCGTTGAGGATTAGGGAATAACCTGCCCTTAAGTTGTCCTGGCCACACTCGCTTGACGAAAGTACCGTCCTGCCCGACAAAGAAATCTAGAGTATGTTATGAGACTCCTAACAACCACACATAGAACTTAGTTACTCAAGTGCGTGAACATTGCTATTTGGATTAGCAAATAGATCGATTACATCAAAGTGGTCAAAAATAAAAGTTTTTCTTAAAAGCAGTCCATAGAGTACCAGTTCAGAAAGAGCCTCCGAGTTCAATCGCCGTTAAAGTTTTCAGTTTCCTTAATTTACTTGCACCGAGATTTTCGCAATTTAAGCTTTATGATACTATTGATTTACATGTTAAATTTTATTTTTTATCTGTTACTTTGATACTTTTATTTTTTATATATAAATTTTGCCTTTTACCGTTTATCTATTACCTTTCAAACTTTAATGTTAATCATTGATTGGTGCCATTCTTCTTTAATTACTCAGTGTTGTAGGTTGGCTGAGAGGAGTTAAAATAAAACTGAAAATACCCTGATTCCCTACGCAACAAAATTTATTCGTTCTCAAGCTAGGTGCCATGGGAGGCCTACGGTCATTATACAGGAGACCTTGGTAGGTAGAGCAGGAAACTGGTGGTTGAAATGCAGTATGTTCCTGTGAACAAGAACACAAAGGAAGAAAAAAAGTAACATGTGGGCAAATAACTTTGGAACGATGACAAGTTACTGTCACTGATCCGCCTGTCAGGAATAATTATCTGCACATATTCATCCGGCAACTTTTATTCTTTCACTGGAATCAATTTCCTTGCCAACCTGTTCGGCAAACTGTTACAGTTGTCCGAGCAAAGTCGGCTGGCCGAATCAGCAATGAAGAAGTATAACAATAACCACATCACAATAGAGTAGTCAACAGAGCTTACATCGGTAGTTTCCACGTTTTCTTATAGGTTTCTCGTCTCGAACGAGTATATTTAGTGCCCGTCCAGTTCAATGCAAAGTTATGAACTGTTTCCACTTGATCGCAATAAATCCACTACTTCACTCTTTGGTAGATCCGCATCCTACGCATCTCTGGCTCTTACACTGTTGGGAGGGAATTCTCTTTGCTTATACCTAACTGCCATTCTAAAAACTGATACAGATTGCAACAGCCGCTGAGCGGGTTTGAGAAACATATATAAAAATAACGATAGAAGGAAACAGAAGGATAGCGGAATCTAATTTTGGCACTTCCCACAGAGTTTGATCTTTTTGCAGTTTTTAACTGGACTCTGAGATGAAAAAACCAACGAAGGAAAAAATCTTATACCACTGGAATCTCCTGGTAATTTATGCCATCTTTCAGAAGCAGTTTTTACAGTTTCTAAAAACGAAAAAAAAACGGCGTATGCATGCCATAGTGCCTGATTTCATGGAAATTAGCTCATAAAACGGCACCGTCAGGCTCGCGACGTTAAAAC